CATCCTCTATGATCATCAGGGCCAGCCTCAAGAACATGTGCCCTGTGCAGTTTTGTGGGTCTTGCACTTGGCTTAATGCTGTACCATCACCATCTTGGAATTATTAATAATTTTTTTAATCAGGGGCCATGTATTCTCATTTTGCACTGTCCCACAAGTTATGTAGCAGTCTGCTGGGTACCAACACTGTCTTATAAAGAGAGTTTACTTCTCTTGAAATTTTTTGTGCCATTTATTAATGTGATACTGGGAATCAAACCCAGGGTCTCATACATGCTAAGCAAGTGCTCTACCAGTGAGCTACATCCCAGCCCTAATGTCTTTTTAAAAAACACTAGTGTGTTGTTAAAATATATTTGACTTTGTATACAACCAGAGATATGAAAAAGTGTGCTCTGTGTAATGAGAATTGTAATGCATTCTACTGTCATATATAAATAAAAAAGGAAAAAAATATATAAATATATATATATATTTGTCAAGTCCATTTTCTCTTGCCTTCCCATTGCCTGTGGAAGCAGTGCCACAGAGGTGGCTGACACTGTGTTCCTGGCTTCTGACACAGCTGAGAGGTAAAGCAGGAGTGCAGAAATGAAGCTGGAGGTCTTGGAAGATTGGTTACATTGAACAGATAAGTTACTTGATTTATCAGAGCAGTAAATGTGCTGAAGATAATGAGAGACTTCTTTCTCACTATCTGAAGGGATTTCTGAACATTAAAAGTGGAAGACTGGGGCTGGGAATGTGGCTCAAACGGTAGCGAGCTCGTCTGGCATGCGTGCGGCCCGGGTTCGATCCTCAGCACCACATACCAACAAAGATGTTGTGTCCACCGAGAACTAAAAAAAATAAATAAATAAATATTAAAAATTCTCTCTCTCTCTCCTCTCTCACTCTCTCTTTGAAAAAAAAAAAAAAAGTAGAAGACTGAAAAGATCCCTGAGGTGCTAATTTAGCATTGGAATTATCAGTATGATCCTGCAGATTTTCAAATTTATGTATATGTAGTAGTTACATATATATTTATGTGTGTGCATATAAATGTGGATACACATACACAAATGTCTTAGTTTGTATAGCGACAGGATCTAGAGGCAGTGGCAGAACACTGGCTCATTATAAGGCCATCCTTGGTTGCATCATCTCATGGTGTAGAGAGCAATGGCAGGAGTATGTGTGGGAACATCTGGAACCAGATGGGGTCAGTTTGCTCATTCTGGTATTCCTCCTGGGAGAACTACCACCCAAGGGCACACCCCAATGACCTTAACTTCCACAAGGCCCCACCTCTTTAAGGTTCTGCCACCTCCCAGCTCCACTCCCCAGACCTAGCCTCCAATCACAATAGAACCTTGTGGCACATTCAAGCCATATCCAAACCACAGTGCATGGAGAATTCCCTTATACTTTCAATGTCTACAGGATCTGTTAGTGATGCCCCCTCTTTCATTCTGATAGTCGTTTCTGCCCTCCTCTTTTCCCATCAGTTACTCTAGCTAGATGTTGATTATTTGATTGATCTTCTCAAAGAGCCAGCTTTCGGTTTTGTTTGTTTTCTCTATTGATTTCCTGTTGGAATTTCATTGATTTCTGCTCTAATTTTAGTGATTTCTGTTCCTCAGCTTACTTTGAATTTAATGTGCTCTTTATCTCATTTCCTAAGGTGGAAACAGAATTTTTTCCCCTTCTTTTCAATGCTTAAATTTTTCCTCTAAACACTGATTTTATTGCCCTTATTCTTTGCTCCTATTTTTGTTTTCCATTCCTTTTCTGCCTTTTATGGTTTTAATTGATCTTTTTATGCAATTTCATCATTTCTTCTTTCTTACTATATCAGTTGTACTTCTTTTTTTTTTTTTTTTTTTTACTTTATTTAGTAGTTGTGTTAGAATATGTCTTGTGGAACAGATCAATTAGCAATGAATTCCCTCAGTTTTTGTTTGAGAAAGTCATTACTTCTCTTTTACCCCCTTTTTCCCCACCTGTGGTGTTGGCGATTTAACCCAGGGCCTTGTGCATGTGAGGCAAGCACTCTACCAACTGAGCTATATCCCCAGCCCCACTTTTATCCTTTTGAAGGATGATGTCATGCAACACAGGATTCTAAGTTGATAGTTTTTAAATATTTTGCTCCACTCTGTACTTGATTGCATGGTTTCTAAAGAGAAGTTAGATATAATTCTTGTTCTTGGTAGGTAGTGTTTTTCCCCTCTGGCTTCTTTCAGGACATTTTCATTATCTTCAATTTTCTATAGGTTGAAAATGGCAAGCCTACATGTAGGTTTGGGAGAATTTGTCCTGTTTAGTGTTCTCTGAGCTTCCTGGATCTGTAGTTCAATGTCTGACATTAATTTGGAGAAATTATTTTATTATTGTTCAAATATTTCCCCTGTTCTTTTCTCTATTCTCACAGTGCACGTAAGTACATCTTTTGTAGTTGTTTCACAGTCTTTGGATTTTCTTTCTTTCTTTCTTTCTTTCTTTCTTTCTTTCTTTCTTTCTTTCTTTCTTTCTTTCTTTCTTTTCAGTTTTTGAAGTTTCTGTTGATATATTCTTTGGCTCAAAGATTTTTTTTTTTCCCTCAACCCTATCCACTTCTCATAATCCCATGAAATGTATTCTTCATTTGTTACAGTATTTTGGATCTCTTAACATTTTATTTTTAGTTCTTTATTTGGATTTCCATCTTTCTACTTACATTCCCCTGTTCTTAACATGCCATCTTCATGTGCCTTCAAGAAAAAAATGTGTGTTAAGTGGGCTTCTTTTAGCATGAGTTATAGTGCTATGATAACAAGTTCATGTTATTGAGTCAGCTGTGTGCCAGATAGGTGCCTTTAACAGAGGCACCTGTAAAACAAAGTTAAGTCCTGGTCAGTTGAAGACAGCATTGAGGGGCACACAGGAACCCAGCCCTTGCATTCCCCAGGAGCAGTGCTTCAGGGTCATCTGGGTCAGTGTTCATAGCAGGTTTAACACCTCACTACCATGAATAGCAAGACACAAATGTGTAGTTGCCATTGATGTTATCAGGTTAATTTCACACCACTATAACAAACATTTGAAAATTTACTCCAGGCTGCAGATGTTTCTTGTGTTCTGTGTTTGTTTACATGATGTATAGTTCTATGTTTAATATATTCGTATGTTTGTGAATTCTTTATAAACTATTTAAGGGTAAAAAAGGACATGTAGAGGACTTTACCTTTGGCATATATAAAAATATGAAGCAGCAAAATATTTAAAGCAATATATATTTACTTATATATATAGGCATATATATATATATATATTCCTTGCTAAAACATACTTTTTACCTTAATAGCTTTCATTCAGTTTCATCTGATTACTAACTTTAAAATATATTTGATTTTAAGGAATTATAGTTCCGAAAATAGAAAGTTATTTCACTAAAACCTATATGTCAACCACGTATACTATTATATCACTCTACTATAAAACTCGATCACTCGTGTGTGTGTGTGTGTGTGTGTGTGTGTGTGTGTGTGTGTGTGATGTCACTCTCACTTTGAACCCCCGTTCCTCTTTGTCTTTATAGTGTTTTATGAAAACTCTGCTGGCTTCCAGAGCCTAATAAACTTAATTGTGTATAGCTCATTGTGCAAATTGATTGGCTTTTGATACTTGCGAGTAAGGAATATCTTATTAGAATCAAGTAGATAAATTAGCTAATTGTATTTAACATACGAAGACAGGTGAAAATTGAGACTATTCGAGTTGATTCAAAAGCAACATGAGAATAGAAGATAATTGACATATTCTTTCATCTTTCTTCAGATCAACCAAATATTAGACAAAACAAAATTGAGGTTTGTCTTTGAATAGAAAGCTGATGTGCTAAGCATATTCTTCAATTTGGGGTTTTTTGTTTATTTTTATTTTTTTTAAATCTTAGATACTGTATCTTTATATACTGATTTTTTGTTTGTTTGTTTATTTTTTTGTTTTCTCCAGGAGGGTATTGGGACGACTAAAATGAAACTCATGATTTCAGTTTTTGATTGACATCTCCTTGATACCTGGCATTTTATACCAATGCCAGGAATTAAATTTTATCTCTTCTCATCTTTAGGCAATATGATATTCTTCTAATGCGTCACTTCTAATTTCGATTTTTGTGAAATGAGGTGAAAAAATATTCTTTGAGACCAGTCATTACTGGGCTTTTGAGCTTCCTGGTTACTTTTGTCATTCAGTTATTATGTGGGAAAGTGTAAGCTATAAAGCAGTGCATTAATAGAAGTTGCTATTTCTCCTCATTAAACAAATTGAAGTTTATTTTTGTTTAATTATTTCTTGTTTTATTTAGTACAAATGTCTCTTCAGCCAAAAATCTGTACTAATGGTTATTAGGCTTTTGGGCTTGGTTTTGTACTTTGTGATATTATAAAATGATTTCTATCAGATGTCTCTCACAGAAAACCAAGAAGTTGATGAAAACTGGTTTTATGGATGGAAAACTGAGGTACAGGGCAGCTCTGATTCTACTTCTTGATTTTGATATTCAGCCTGTTTTCTTGTCTGTTTCTAATTTCATTTGAAATTAGAAGAACAGCATATTGCCTAAAGATGAGAAGAGATAAAATTTAATTCCTAGCATTGGTATAAAGTGCCAGGCATCAAGGAGATGTCAATCAAAAACTGAAATTGTGAGTTCCGTTTTAGTCGCCCCAACACCCTCCTGGAGGGAAAAAAAAAATCAGTATATAAAAGATACAGTGTCTAAGATTTTAGAAAAGCAAAAAAGAAAAAACCAAGGGGCTGGGGTTGTGGGTCAGTGGTAGAGTGCTTATAATATAATACCATATATAAATAAATAAAGGTCCATTAAAAACTAATAAAATATTTAAAAACAAATTGAAGAATAAGCAAATAGGGTTTTTGCTTCTTTTCTTTTCTTTTTCTTTTTTTAATATCCCTGTCTTACTGTGATGGAAAAGGATTTATATTTTGCTACAGCTGGTGTTTTTCTCCTGCAGAGATATTCCCATGCCTTTGGTCAGCTCAGGAGTGGAGCATGGCAACCTGAGGGAGCTGGCGTTTGCGAGAATGAAGGACCTTGGAATACAGGTGAGAGTGATTTGACTGTCAGTCCATCACTGTTGAGGAAAAAGGAACCTCACAGGCAAACGCTCTGTGACAGTCCTCTTACAGACTGCTCCTACCAGGCAGGTTAGAACACCTGCATGCACTGAAGGTGTTCTGTGTAACCTGGGAGCGGAAGCACACAGCGGTAAAGGCTGCACTCTGTCCCTCATCCCCTCTGCCTTCCTCTGTAGGCTTTTCAGTTGAATGGTTGTTTTTCCTACCTTCTTTGATTGCCAACTATGTGTTCAACTCCTGCTTTCAAAAACATTTTTCTTCTAAAGTATTAGGTGTTCAGGCTGTAGAAGAATAAGATGTGGTTCCCCAAAAGAAATTTGAAGAAACAAGGATTATGTGTAGGAAATAATTACCAAACAGTGCTGTTGCCCCACATAACCTGCTCCTTCACCCCATCCATGTATATTTAAGTCACTTATTATTTTACAAATGTTTACTAATCACCTCCTCTCTGCTGGTGCTGGAAGAACAGAGGAATTTGTAACTTAACAGTCTCTCTCCTTGTAGTTGGTTCTTAAGTCAGAGGAAGGTTTGAAATTCAAACTGAAGAGAGGAAAGGAGTGGGTCTACCCAAGGCACTGGTGCTGGTTCTGTCTTCAGAGATTTGGATTCAGTGGGTGGGGATGTGGCGCAAGCATCCACTGCACTATGTACCTGGCTCTCATGCACAGTTCAAGCCTAGACCATGCTTTGAGAAACTCTGTTCCAAGAATTTCACATTGTGGACTTGCCTAAGATAGTTTGTATTTTCTCTCAAATAATTATTAAGAAAATTTTTCCGGGGCTGGGGATGTGGCTCAAACGGTAGCGCGCTCGCCTGGCATGCGTGCGGCCCGGGTTCGATCCTCAGCACCACATACAAACAAAGATGTTGTGTCCTCCGAAAACTAAAAAATAAATATTAAAATTCTTTAAAAAAAAAAAAAAAAAGAAAAGAAAATTTTTCCGAAGATTTTTTGCCCAAAGAAAGTCTGTAAACAACATTGGCTTATTCTACCCCCCAAAAAAATAAATAAATAAATAACAATTTTAAGTTCTAGAAAAAGAAGTAAATGCATTTAGATTGATTAAACAAGATTGTGTGCCTACTCTGTTCTTCAGCCATCTTGTTCTACATCTCTGTCTTCTAAGAGTACCGCTGCTGAGGGCACTGCAGGGCCTGGTGACTGACAATGTCCTTGTCCGTTCCTCTTCTTTAACCCTTCCTGCCTCACTAGCTCATTAAGTAGACTGAGATTGAGTCTGAAGACTAATTTTCAATCAGAGTCAAAGACGCCTAGTACCCATAGGCAACGACTTTCCCAGAAAGTAAGCACAGACTATCTCTGCCTTTAAAAAAAGCATGCAAGAAAGCAATAGCAGTGTTCATCGAGAGCATGTAACTATAACACATCCACATACAAGCTGCTGTACAGGAGTACACATTGAGTAGATCAGTAATTATAGGGAATGATAACCTGTTTGCTGTACAGTCTGCATCAACAGAATATTATCTTGGGCTGCTTCCTGGTGCTGCAGCCCGGCTGCAGCAAAATAACCAGGAGGTGACAAACAACATGTGTAGATTGATACAGCAGGAGTGGGAGCCGTTTATTGTAGGACAGGAGGGGTATATATACATTACACACAGCTTATCTTAATTAACATAAACTAGATACAGCAGTCAACCAATAAGGATTCTCCACACTTAATGGCTCGCTGGCGTTACTTCACAAACCACTCCCCTTGGCAAAATGCCAGACGCCATCTTGACTTGTTTACAAACCCTAACATCCTGGGGTTTCCTTCCTAACTGGAAGGAGCTTTGTTTTTTGAAAACTAAATAATGAACTCTATTTCTTCATGGAATTTCACACATGTCACAGTCCTTCAGAAATATATTAATACAATAGGTTGTAGTTGGTTCTTAAGTCAGAGGAACATAATAGTTATATCCCTTGAACAAAATTAAAGTCTAAATTTAGTTTAAAAGTAAAACAATACAAATTCATAAATTTGTCATTCTGGTTTTCTCCATTCTCAAATTTGTTAAAGATGGGCCTTTTTTTCAGCCCAGGGTTTGGTTTAAATAAGAGAAGTTTAAATAAACAATGAATTAGTTGCGGATTTAATTTCTCTAATTTCTCCTCCAATCTGCCTGATTTTTTTTATTTTTGTTTTTGTTTTTGCAGTGTCGAGATGTGAGAACCAGAGAGGTTGGAATCCAAGAAATTCATCACAAAGTACGGCCCTATCAGGTCAGTTTATGTCTTTGCCAAGCCTGGACCCCCACCGTCTTACAGAGAGTACCAAGTCCTAAAAGTTAATGAATAACTCAGAGCAGAGAATAACTGAAGATTAGATACAGATGTCAAGCTAGGAAAGCCAAATATGAAGGTAACTGAATTATAGAAGAGCCAGGTTAGGAAAAACAAGACTGCATCTTATTCTAGATCACTACTGTCTATCAGAATTTACTTGCAGTACAGGGAATGTTCTGTGATCTGAGTTGTCCAATATGGTAGCCACTAGTCAAATGTGACTTTTGAGCACTTGAAATGCAGTTAGTACAAATAAGGAACTGAAGGTTTAGTTTTATTGAATTAATTCAAATGTAGATAGCCACACATCTGTAGTGGCTACCTTCTGGTAGAGCTTATCAACTCTTGCCCATTGGGGAATAAGCAAATGAATAGATGCTGTACCTATATCCAAACGTGAAGATTTCTGGGTATATGCATATCATTACATATTGCTCCTACCAGAGCCATTTGTACAATGAGTTGAAGAGTTATAACTCTTTATAGATTCCCACCACAACACTTGCCGTAAAAGCTTCTGCCCAGTGATTGAACTTTCTTTAATATAATTGTTCCATAACTAAGTACGATTTAAGAGCTCTGTGAGATGTCATACTTTCTTAAACCTCATCACAATACAAGGGATTACCCCCATCCCCCACAACAGGTTCTAGTGGAGGAAGTAAGATCTAGAAAATTAAACCACTGCCAGGAGTGTTGGTGCACACCTGTAATCCCAGCAGCTGGGAGGCTGACAGGAGGATTGTGAGTACAAAGCCAGCCTTAGCAACTTAGCAAGACTCTGTCTCAAAAAGGGCTCATGATGGGACTGGGGTTGTGGCTCAGTGGTGGAGCGCTTGCCTGGCATGCGTGAGGCACTGGGTTTGATTCTCAGCACCACATAAATAAATAAAATAAAGTTCCATTGACAAGTAAAAAAATATTTTTAAAAAAGGGGGAGGGGGCTTGTGATGTAACTCGTTGGTTAAGTGCCACTGGGTTAAATCCCCAGTACCAAAAAGAAAAAGAAAAGGAAACCACTGAACATCTGAGAATTTGGAACTAAACAAGTGCTCCTAAGACATGATTTGTAATTTTATCTTAGAGACTGTTCATGGAAGATCAAAGATTTAAATACAAAGAAGCATTAACTGAGCTGGATTTCTGGAAGAATCTCAGGTTAATTAACTTCAAATATTTGATAAATGGTTTTCCATTTATAACAGTTCATGATCAAGGCATGAACTCTTATTTATTGGTACTGTTTGAGAGGAGACCAGTAAAAAGAACATAATTAGCGATGATTCATTCTTTTTTCCTAACTGAATATTAGCCTAAATAAATACATTCGATTATAAAAATGAACTTGGTTTTTAATTTTGAAAAATATTTTTGTGCACTTTCTGATCAATAGGTTGAATTGGTAAGGAGAGATTATGTTGCAAATGGAGGCTGGGAAACATTCTTGTCATATGAAGATCCTGATCAAGACATTCTGATTGGCCTCCTGCGGTTACGAAAGTGCTCAGAGGAAACTTTCCGTTTTGAGTTGGGTGGAGGTGTGTCCATAGTCCGGGAACTGCATGTGTATGGAAGTGTAGTCCCTGTGAGCAGCCGGGATCCTACTAAATTTCAGCATCAGGTATCCTGTATACTGATTTTGTTTGGCTTATAATTCAGAAATTGCCCAAGGGCTGGGGTTGTGGCTCAGTGGTAGAACACTTGCCTGGCATGTGTGAGGCACTGGGTTCAATCTTCAGCACCATATATAAATAAATGAATAAAATAAAGGTTCATCAACAACTCAAACAATATATATTTTTAAAAAAAGAAAAGAAAAAAAGAAATTGCCCAAGGTAGGAAAAGAGAAAAGGAATGGTGTTGGAGACAGAGGAAAGGGGAAAGGGGAGTATTAAGAACAAAAGAATCAGCATTTCAGTTGTTCCACCATGTTTTCCCTCCACACTGCTCCCTCTGGGAAGTGATGGGGCAAAAGGAAGGACAAACAGATTCAGCTAATTGAATATATCAGATTGAACCATGTGAAATTTCTGCTTGTGGAAGTCAGAATACTGGCAATTTTATGAGTCAACTGTGCACTCAAGTGAGAGGATGACGTGAAGGCACATAAGGAACCGTGAAGCCCTTCAAAAATGGCAAGCTGTAGTTTAATCAGTGGAACCCTGTTCTGACCCCAGACAACCTAAAATTAGTAACTCTTTAAAATTCAGAAAAATGTGTTAAAAGTGCCAATAGTGGATTTAGGGTAAGCCCCACAATTGGCGAAGTAAAGGACCTTGCCTGATTTCTAAACCACTTTAGAAAGTGGAGGGATGACAAATCAGACTTAGAGCCCCAGTCTTCCGTCATCTAGAGACTGCCTAGAACTTACCTAAAAAGATGTGGCTCTTGTGAGGCATTGTCCCCTTGCTGTGACTAGATTATATCCTCCTCAGAATACCATTTGGTAGCTCTAGTTGGAAAGTTAAACCTTTTCCACCTGTCAGCTGTCAAGTATTGGTATAATTGAATGGTTTCTTCTTTCTTACTCACATAAGTAGATTTTTTTAGCAACTAAAAAATTGTAATCTTCTTGTTTTGTGGACTTCTTTTGATAGACTTCCTCCCTTCTTAATCCCCCAACCTCTTTATTGCTCCTTCTAGGGATTTGGCATGCTGCTGATGGAGGAGGCAGAAAGAATAGCTCGAGAAGAACACGGATCTGGGAAAATAGCTGTTATTTCAGGTAACTTGGGGAAGGAGAAATTCGTGATTCATCCACATTTTAAATTTGGTAGCACTATGAAGTCTACCTCAGTGCTCTCTTGCCCCATTTATGATTACTATGTTTAAAATTGGGACTGACAATGAAGGACTTGTGCCTAAACACTCAGAAAAATCATGGAAGCAGTTTGGTGAACTGGAACTATCAGAAATGCTCCCTCACTGAGAGTGCAGAGCCAGTTATCAGCATCCTCTCTTCTTCGCCATCTATCACACTGGTCGTTGTGGTCAGCCTCTCTCTTGTGCTTTGTGCCCAGTTACTTTGTCTGGGGAAATGGAATTTGATGATATGGATTCAAGAAAAATTTAAATCAGTGTGGAGATTATCAGTGTTGTTCAGAAAATTAAAATGGAGTCTCAGTTGTCAGTGTAAGATGGGTAAAAGCAGTGTTCTTGCTCCTTCAGTACTGTCCTCAGTGATTCATTTCTGGACAAGGACTCTGCTGTCTGGCAGGGCACAGGAGGACAAACTTTTCCTCAACTGTCTTCGGTTCCCTGGCTGGATCTGAAGTTCAACCAGCAAAGACAAATTAATAGGGGAAGAACATACAGATTTATATAGTGTAAATTTTGCAGAACACAGGAGCCTTCATAAGGAAATGAAGATCCAAAGAAATTATTGAGCCTGAGTTTTTGTACTAGCTACTTGATGTAGTGTTTTGATACTAGGTACTTGATTTAAATTGGAAAGTCATGGGGAAATGAGTGGTCAAGGGAGAATGAGCTAAAGGTAAGAAACAGGGGCAGGGGCACTTAGCAGAGGTAAGGATGCTCCTATTCCCCAGTTCAGGGAGGGCCTTACCTCTGCTTCAGGGGAGAAGGGTAGGGGAAGGTCAGAGAGGCCTTCCTGTACCTGCTATTTTCTTATCTTTTTTCAGCTTAAAATTTTCAGTGTGCCAAATCACCTGTCTGGGGGTAGTGCATTCTGAACTTCATCAGGAACTTCCCTATTCCTTAACTAGGACATCAAGTACTGGGGAAAGGGGCATGAAAAGGAAATTCTGATGTGAATGTACACTCTTTCATTTCTACTCTTCAGTATTGTATCCCTACAGAAAGTGGCTGATTCATAGTAGGAGCCAAAATAGTGAAAGCCAGGATCAATATAGGTTATTTTTCCTTAGTGGTATTTTGTTTTCCCATCAGACTACCACATTCCAAAAGCTAACCACACTTTTGGAGAAAACAGTCTTTCTGAAAATGAAATTTGAAATGAGGTTTAAAAAAAAAATCAATGTTTTTGCCAATCATTAAATCAATACCCTTTCCCAGGTCTTAATGATTATAATTATGAAAATGTAATCATACAGGCTCACTTGGTCATTTAGTCTGGCTGTGACTTTTGGTATTATCCAGGTTAATAGAGCATTTCTTGCCATTTCTAGCTATATATATGTTTCTCTGTTACCTTAATTACACAAAGAAGATGTCTAATTGAGGCTCACCTGATACTGATACCTGTAGTAAAAAGTGCTTACCTCTCAGCCATTTTACCTGTGGATAATACCAGGATAGGGCCACACTGACTGAACCCATTCTGCATGTGCATCTCTGTAAGGTTGATAACACCTGAAATTTCCATGAGTCTTTTTGCCAGAGCACCATCAGTGTTTTCATTAAAGAACTCTGGGAGTTGACTGTGCTTAGCAATCACCTGGAAAGCTTATTGAAATGCAGATCCAGAATCCTTAGATCTGTGAGGACCTACGTTTCTGAGCACTCCTGAGTGATACCTCTGATCGTTGTCTTCAGAATACATTTGAGTAGCAAGATTTTAGTGTTCGCTTCCACATGTCCTTCCCCAGTCATCACGGTGGGGGTGACTCTGTGACCCTGGCAGCACTGCACTACTGATAGGGAGCGACTGATATGCAGTTGCGTGATTTTCTGGTGTCTGTGGGAACCTAATAAGTTTTAAAGCTGAAGAGTGTCCATGTTCCATCACTGCTGGACATTATTTTATCTGTCTTCATGATTTCTGTCTCTCTTTGAAATGTTTCAGGCCCCTGACTTGCCTGAGGTCACATCCAGTGGCTCATAAGAGCCTCAGATTGGTTTCTGCTTTTCCAAGCAGGGTGTCTTTCCGAGTGGAATTCAGCATCTGTCCTCTTTCCAGCTTTTTATCCAAATCTAAATGATAGCTCAGTTTTAAATCACCCTCATGGAGACTGTGTAAAATAACAAGAGGCCTCCGAGGTAACAGGAAAGAGCCTCCCCGTGTCAGCTAGCACAGCAGCTCTGCTGCGTGCAGCTCAGGGGAGTTTCTTTTGGCTGGTGGGATTCTAGGTGAAGAGCCCTGGAATGCCCACTTGGAACTCTAGTTCTTTCCAAAAAAGGACAAAGCGGGTGTCACTCTGGCCTGGGAGCCCCACCATTGATCCCTGTAGAGAACCACATCGGCCTTGACTCTTCTGTTTGACTCAAGCTCTGGTTATCCTTCTAGTGAAAACACCTAGAACCTCTGCTTTGTGGATGTTGGGTTTAATTTCTCCAGTTTAGCAATATATTACTGTTCTGTTCAGGTTTCTCCTCAGACACCTGAGATGTCTATTGAGAACCTGAAGGAGTGTTTATTATGTACAGTGTTCTTTTTCTTTACATGTTTCTTTATTTTGATTTTGGTTCTTCTGATTTAAGAATAATTATGAGAAGTGAGTGTGTGTGTTTTAATTTGTGTAAAAAGTCAAGCAATTAGTCTCTGTATGTCAGTCCTTATAATGAAAACCTCTTTATGATAGTACTGGTGTTTATGGGCTACATTATATTCACAGTGCCCCATTAGATTATAGCTACCATACAAAAAGAGACAGTGGTGGGGGTTGGGAGGAGCAGGGGGCCAGGATTCCATTCCTGCTTTGCCAGTGGCCCTCCTTGTGACCTAGGATAATTTTACTAGATCTCCATGGGCCTTTATTTTCTTATTAAAAGCAAATGAATTAGGATATCTTGTACAGTTCTACCTATCTAGAATTCTGTCCCTTAGAATCTTCACTTCTTTACTCCTCAACATGACCACTTAAGTTTTCCTGATTATGGTTTAAGTAGATTATTTTTCTGAGACATGTTAGAGAACCCTGAATTTCATCAGTAATGAATCTCAGTCCCATTGTAGGTCGGGCATTTGATGATGACAATGATGATGCTGAGGTCTCCCATAGGTAGTTAATCCTGTCTGCAATTCATGGACATATATTAATGTTGGTCACAGCTGGTGACACTTTGTGACCTATTTGGCCTACATTTTTCTCTGACCTTGGCCTTAATTTGCAAATCATCCTTGTTCTGGTCTGCCAGCTTTCCTGTAAGTCATACACAGTGGTGACCTAGATGTTCTCTCTTGGCATAACTGATAACTTGAGTAAAGAAGAGACAGAATCATTTATCATTTTGGTTACCCTGTCTGTAAAAGTATTGCACTATGTACAATTTTTAAAAATTGTGTTCAGATTCATTTTAATTTCCCTTCATCTTGCCAGAAGATTTTCTTAGTTTAGATTTATGACCTTTGGTTTCTAACTCTAAACAATATTAACTGCACAGTAGATCTCATTTGAATCTCTAGTCAGAATGACTATATTCTTGCTTTCCCTGTTAAGAAACAAAATTGCTTTTTATCTGTATTACCTCAGGATATTTTATTTATACTGTATAATAAATGTAACTCAGTATATTTTATTTATTTATAGGTATACACTGAATGTTTTATAGCTGATCATCTTTTAAAAAAAAAAACTAATAGTACTACCTTTAATCTGTATGAGAAAATTGAAAACTTCTGCATTTATCAAAGTCAAATGAAGTACTTCTTTAGAGGAGTTTTTTAGGTATGTTCATTCTACATATAATTGTCTTAATAAACTGTGTTTTAAAATTGACCATAATTTTTAAATGTGAACATTGTTAAATAAAACAAAAATGACATCAACATTGCTGCAGGTGTTAAGGGGCAAGCAGAGGCACGAAGGTGTGAGGTGCCCTGCTGCCTCTCAGGAGCGCCCAGGGGCTCTGGCTGGCTGGGTCTTCACCTTCAGAGGGAGACCAGTTTCTCCCTCCTTAGACTCCAGATGACTTCTCCACATGGGATTAATTTGCTTCAGACTAAGAAGATAATCTCTTCCTATTTGTAGAAATGGGTAAATCAGTGTCATAAGAACAACCAATTTGTAGAATAATGTATAAGCAGGAAATAACCATAAATTACTGCTGAGTGTCTAAGCAATTCTTCCCAATTCGGTCCAATGCTTTAATATCTCCTGCCCATTTACCCATGTGTCTTCATTCAACACACATCTATTTAAGATTAACAATTCGTATTTACTTAAAAACCATGTTGTTTATCTGCTTGGATGATCTCATTCTTTCCTTCAGGCCTGTCAAGATGAGGCAGTTTTTTTCTTCCCTCATGTATAGTGTGAGGTGCAAGAATTATACTGTAGAAGCTAGCCACAACATTTAAAATGCCATCACTAATAATCACCATGGAAACTGGAGATCTCTTATGTCATACTCCCCATACCATTTCTAAAAGAGCAAATGTAACTGTCAATAGCCACTATTCAAAAAGCCGTTTAACGCCCCCTACAGAATGAGTTTTTTGTTCTGGCAATTTTGGCTAGGTATCAGAGTCATGTCACTGTTTCATTTGCCGAGCTAATTGCTATGCAGTAAGATGAACAGCTATTCCCCAAGCTCCCCATGCCTTCGTCATAAGCAGGATTCTATTTGTGTTCTTTCAAGTAGAAAATTAATATGGCCATTGGCCAAGAATTGTACAAGGTTGATAGATCACACAGTAATGGTGAGAAAGGAGGGAAATGTCTGAATGGTTAGTGACAGAAATCACTGAAGTCAGAAGCTGATAGCCATTTTGTTTAAATCTATTAAAAAGCCCAAGAACAAGGGAGGGGGGAAGAATTTAAATATAGGGTGATTAAACAAGTCACTATGGAGATGAGATCATTC